CCCAATAAGGAATTAGTAACTTAAAGGAAATCCTACAGCGGTTATACATGGAAAAGCCCAAAACCGCCTAGCGGGACCCCGAATACGTCTGCGTTACCCATTAATGCTGAAGTAGTCGACAATTCCAACAATATTCTTATTCCATTATCTTGTCATAAAAAATGAAAAATGTGTTTGTTTTAATATTCTTCAAAATTCAATCCTATTCTATTCAACTTAAAACATTTAACAATTACTTTTCACAATAAAAGTTTATAAATTAACAAAAACACTCTCACCTTCACCCATCAGCAGCCATCGTCGTCGCCAACCGACAGCATTGGAACGATGCACGCCCGGCTAGATCTGACTAGTCATGCGCCAATCTTGCCTTTTCTGGCCAGATCTATCTAGCCGTTGACGACGATCGAATTTTGGCTGTTAACAATGACTAGTTTTTGGCCGAAAAAGGCAAGATGGGTGCACAAATGGCCAAATCTAGTTGATCATACGCCATTCCAGTGATCGACGGCCACCGTCTGACGGTGGGGGCTAGCTGCCAGAAGCCGATTGGATGGGTGCAGTTGTTTTTGTTAATTTATAAACTTTTATTGTTGGGGAAATCTTTAGTTAAATTAACAAATGTATGTGGTTAAAAAGTAATCTAAATATTTTCAAAAAATGTTTTCCAATAATATACCAAACACATTCTCAGAATCTTACCCTAAAATGTATTCAAAATAGGGTTTTACAAATGCTATTAAAAAAAGTGTACCAAATGCAGCCGTAATTTATGGTTTTGACATATATTTTTTTAATCAGAGTGTTCATATCAGTTTGCAAACACCTCAACTAATCTTAGGGTTCATTGATCACCTTATAAACCTAATGAATGAGATAAGTCACAATGTGATAGGCAGCTCCAAGCTTCACACCCAAGAACTGAATGAAAGAAGCAAACCTCCTTGACGAGGTCAGTTCCTTGGGGTTCATTATTTTGATATTATATGATGTTCGATGTATCAATTGCATTCATGATATTATTTTTGTTCTTTATGCAAAAATAATTCAGGTTATATTTGATAAAATTTATGAGTGATGTTATTGGCCCTTTACATTTTATCTCAATAGATTCCTCTTTCTTCTTTTACCTAATTAAAATATTATCCTCCATAAAAATTATTAGAGAGGGTATAAATTCTTTCGTATTAACTTTTCTCACGTTAACCCTTGTATTATTAATCAAAAAAAATTTCTTCTACTTTCTAATCATAAACCCTAACCTAAATATGGCATTTTAATCATAAACACTAATCTTATATATATATTGTTTCCTTTTACAAGAGAAAGAGTTTTATGAAACATGTAAAAATTAAAACCTTTGGTTTTTTAGATTTTCTTCAATTCTTCAAGAACAAATTAACTAATAACTATTAGCTTGATCATATCAACAGCCTACTATATGTACAAAATTCTTAAAATTTCAAGTTCAATTTGAAGCTTTTCGTTTTAATAATCTTAACAACATATCTCTTTGAATTTTTTCTGATCAGTTTTTAAAATTTTTAAATTTTTTTTATTTTAATAACTGACTTTATTTTTAATATTTTAAAAATAAATAAAAAATACTAAAGAAAGTAAAAACAAATATAGAAAAATCAAACTAAAATATTTGAAAAAAAAAACTAGAAACTCCGACAATGAAGCCGATGCTATTGGCCTTGATCAAGCCAGGCATGGTCGGATCAATGCCGATTTGCCTTGTTCTAAACCCCACTTGTTTGACATTTTCGTATTAGCATTCGCTAGTTTTGGATTTTGGAAATACAATCCTAATCCTTGTGAGTTTGACCCTTTTTGTAGTAAACACTTGCTAGTTTCAGAAATGCGATCCTAAATCATATTTTGATGAACCGTTATGTTATTCTATTTAAGTTTGAAGGAAATGACGTTTATATCAAAATATATCAACAACGTTAAGAGGTTAATATAATTTTTGGAGGCTAAATTATTGAAATTGTTGATAAATTTGAAGACTAAATTAATAATATTTTCGAAACTAACAGGTGCTCACTTGTCACTACCAAAGGCTAGACTCCATCGGATCTTGTTTGACAGTTTGACTGCTTATGTACAAAATAAGTTAACCCTTCCAAATAGCCCCAAAAATGACAACCATCAAAAGACCTAAGCCCATGTAGCCTTGGCCTGTCTAAAAAATGTTGAACGGCCTCTACCTAGCCTTAGCCTGTCCAATGATGTTCAACGGCCTCTACCCAAGTAGTTGTGGCCTATGATCCAATGACTCGCAACCTATTGATCATGCTATCCCTAAATTCCAACCATTCAATCAATAATCCTTTGGAGGTATAATCAACTAAGAAAATCCTCTTATAGTTATAGTGCTAATAGAAATTTTCATGTCATTAAGTTTTTAGTGTTAAAATAAACGGTAAAATGACAATATGGTAAATATTCAGGGTGTGTTTGTTTTATTATTTTGAGTAGTATTTTTGAAATGTTATTAGTAGGTAGAGTTTGGTGATTATTATGAGGTAGAATTTAAAAATTAACAAAAAAACCTCATAGGTTTGCTAATTTAACTTAACACCCAAATATATAATTTTTTTGTAAAAGGACAAAAACACCCCCACCACACACAATTGCTAGATACCAGCCACCACCGTCGGAATCTGATCAAAATCTAGTGTTACGGTGCACGACCGGCTGGATTTGGCCGGTCGTGCATTGAGATGGCCTTTTCCAGCTAGATCCAACGTGGATCTAGCCAGAAAAAGCCAGATCTACGGCCAAATTTGGTCGTATTTGGTCGTCAACGACGACCAAAGATATGGCCGTCATTGATGGTCAACGAAGGCCATGTCTTGGCCGTTGTTGAAGACCAGCTACAACCAAAGATCTTACCTTTTTCGGCTAGATCCACGGTGGATCTGGTCAGTAAATGATAGATCAGTGCACTACCGGCTAGATCCAGCCCGTAGTGCGCCATTATACCAGATTCCGGCCACCACCGGCCACCTTCTAGCAGTGGTGGCTGGAATCTGACAAATGTGGGTGGGTGGGGATGTTTTTGTCAATTTCTAAACTTTTTTTTTGGGGGGTGTTTAGTTAAATTAATAAACTTAGGGGGTTTAAAATAGTTGAATAAAATATAATAGTATTTTCAAAATAGGGAAACAAACGTGTATTTTGGAAATACAGTAAAACCTCTCTATAGTAATATCCTATATAGGAATAAACTTTACATAGTCATAAAAAATTTTATTCTCAATTCAGGAAAGTTATAAATAAGAATAAACTCCACATTGTAATAAGTTATAATTATTCTAATTCTCGTCTTAAGGAAAGTCGCCTCCACATAATAATAATTATCTGTATATTGCAAAAAATATGTTATATTGCATTAAGGGTTTAAGATGAAATAAAATATTTATGTAAAGTTATTTGGGAGAATGATTTATGTTTTAAAGTTGTTACCACATTTTTTAACTTACGGGTACATTACTCCAAAATATTTATAGTTTCTCAAACATGTGCAGAGCTTCTTGACATGAAACTTTTTGTATTTCCGTACTATCATCCTCATGATTATTTCTTTTCTCTTTTTGTCTAATTGTAGCAATGATTTATTCTTCAGTTAAAACATACATGACTTGTTGCTTATTTGGATGATTGGGGAAGACATTAATATCTATTCGATTGGTGTAGTAACGTTGTCGAATCTGATCACTCAATTCTACAATGACTCTGTGATTCTCCTTATCCACTTCATTTGTAACTTGCAATTCATTGACACCAGAGGTCCTAATTTTGTAATGCTTAAAACAATTGACAATTGTCTGTGGCTTTACATCAATTGACCATGTAGTAACTGTATTTACAATTCTATCAAGAACATCTATCTTTGTTGGTTCCAAGACACGATCTTCTATCCGTTTCAAAAGTAGGCAATTGAAACGCTAAATTGAAATGCTAATACTATTAAAACATGAATTGAAATCCTAATGTTATACTACTAAAACATAAATTACGAAATAAGAATTTTTTGTAAGTACACATCTATTAAATTATAACCTCCTTATAGTAATAAAATTATTTATTTCCACCATTATGATTATAGAGAGGTTTTACTGTAGTATTAATAAGATAGGGAAGAATAATTAAATAAGTGGACCCTCAAATCCATTTGTTATAGATTTCTCACTAATGGCAATGAAATTTCCACGGTAATTTTGTTATTTAATTAACTATTTGGGGGTTGAGAACCTCTTTTAGTAATTTTAAACTTTAGTTTCTGTACTTTGACATTTTTTATATTTGTAACCTATATTTCAACCTTCAACCACTACTCACTACTTACTAAAAAATCACAGTTTAACATATTTTCATCGAAATTTTAAGTATTGTAAGATACAAAATGCAAGTGCTGAAAGATTTCTCTTCCAATTTTTGTCTCCTCACCTTCCATTGTGTTTTGTGTTAAAATCCATTAAAATTTGGGTCAGCTACTGTTTTCTAAGCCTAGATGGCGTGGGCGACCTGTTCTGTTAACACTGTTGAAATTTCAATTCTTGGACACTACTGTTCTGCATCGGATTTATGAGTAAGTCTTTGTTTCTGTTTTTACCTTTTTTTTGGTTAATCTGTTACTTGATTAATTCTATCACATTATGGTCAGAATTGAAATTGAAATATTTCTCTTTCAATTTGTGTCTCCTCACCTTCCATTGTGTTTTATGTTAAAATTTGGGTTAGCTTCTGTTTCCTAAACCTAGACGGCGTGGCCATCCTATTCTGTTCAACACTGTTGACACTACTGTTCTGCATCGGATTTACAAGTAAGGCTCTGTTTATGTTTTTTTCTTTTTTTGGTTAATCTGTTACTTGATTAATTTTATTACATTACGATCAATTTTGTAATTTTTTTTTTTAAATATTGTTATTCTTAATCGAATTTTTGTCCAAGAAGAGTTTAGCTTGAAAATTTAGTATGTTATATCATGAATGTGAATATTACAAATTTGAAGATAATGGATAAGATAGTGGATCGAATTTCAAACTTGTCTCCTTTTATAATTCATCATATTATGTCCTACCTCTCCGCAAAAGAGGTAGCTCAAATTAGTATATTGTGGAATCAGTTACGAATATGTTTCCCTATCTTTGATTTTGATCAAACTTATTTCCTCATTCGAGATGAGAGTGCTCATGTTACATCAGTGTTTGAAAAGAAGAGCTTGGCACTCCATGATCGTTTGAAAGAATTTATGGAATTTGTTGATGTTTCTCTGCTTCGGTTCTGCGAGCTCAAGTTTTGTATGCACAAATTTAGGATATTCCTAAGTATTCTAGATGCAAAAGAATCGGCTCCTTACATTGACAAATGGATAGGATTGGCCATAGAAAAGGGGGTTAAAGAGTTGGATTTGCAATTCCTTACAGAAAGCAATGCACAATACACTTTGCCTCAAACAATCTTTTCTGCTGGATCAGTTACCACTCTGAAGTTAGTTAACTGTAGGTTGGAGAATACCTCAGATACAATAAGGTTTAATTCTCTTATAAAGCTAAGTTTGGACTCGGTTTTTATACATGAAGAGATGGTCCAGAAGCTTAGTAGTGAATGCCCTCTCCTTGAAGAAATATTTTTCTCGGAATGTTGGGGTTTGAAGTGATTATGTGTTTTAAAAGCTCTCAAACTGAAGATAATGTCTATCGGATCAGATGAGCTTGAAAGTGTTGAAATTGTTGCTCTAATCTTCAAGAGTTAGTCCTTGAATTTAGTGAGGAAATATTGCCAAGAGTGATTGACATTGTTGGGTGCTCATGGTTGAAATAGTTAAAATTTATGGGCATTGGTCTTGCAGACCAAGAGTTTCATCATTTTATCTCAAGCTTTCCCATGCTCGAGGCTTTGATCCTTGTGTACTGCAATATCCTTGAAAGAATTACGATTTCAAGTAATCAGCTTAAGAAGTTTCGAGTTAGTAGCTGTGTTAATATGAAGGCACTTGACCTTGATGCTCCAGATTTACTTTCCTTTACTTACGAGTACAGTCCTATTCCCACTTCACGCATAAATGCAATATGTCCATGGCAAGTTAAATGTTTATCTAAAGTTACGTTTGACACTCAATGGAGCCTGAAACTGAGGGAATTTCTAGGAGTATCCAATCAAATTGAAGATCTAAGGATATTTGTAAGGCCAACTGTGGTATGTGTATAAATTCCATATAACTAATTATTAGTATTTCACTTCACTCTTTTTACATTCGTTTATGATCCTTCTCCACCACTTATTGTTTTGTTTTGCTTTGTTTTTTGATTTGTTAGAGTTCTTTTAAGTTAGAAGAATTCAGGAAAAGTTTTCCATCACCCTCTTGAAATGTTGGGAATCTTGAGTTATATACAAAAGTGCCACCGTCAGAATACAGGATTTTGTTGGATTGTCTTCTCTGGATTTGTTATCCTAGGACTTTGTCTTTGCAAACATTCGAAGCCCAGTACAAATTATTTGAGGTACGTATTGATTCCTTTTTAGCAACCAAAGTTTCAGCTTTGATATGGTTATATTCATCTTTGGAAACTATCTTTGGAATGCATGTGAATGATGTTATATATAATGAAATTTGGAAGTAAGTGTGGGTACTATGTGGACATTCATGTATGAATAATTATGCCTATACCAAATGTTGATGAATGGAAAGGAGAATTTTGTGTTTCCGCATGTTTGATTTGGTTGATGATTGAGAATTCCAGCTAATTTCGCTAAGGCTGGTTTGTTTGGAAATTATTTGGTGGAAGTAATGGTTGGAATGAAGGGTATGGAATTGTGGACTATTGTAGATGCAAAAAATCTACCGTCATGAAAATAGGGTCTGATCCCGTGAGGTTGAGGCCACTGACAATTTGCTAGACCTGCACACATGAAAGGGCAAGCGTGAAGCTTCCGGAAAACACCGTGGTGGTGTTTGCCGTAGGCACTCCGACATTCAAGTCAGCAAGGCTGAAAGAGATTATTTGATAAGAATTATGGAGATGAAGAATTACCAGGAGTCTTGTCGAAAGCTAGGACTACGGCGGAGGCGTCGGGTTCTTGGGAGCAAGAACTTTAGGAGCAAATAGATGGTTTTGAGTAGTATAGATTGACTATGGGAGATTGCATGCCTAATGAGAGGGCAAACCTCTGTTTTTATAGTGAACCCAAGGGGTTGGAATCCTAGTAGGACATTGAGTCCTCTTTTTTGGGAGATAATCCATATCAAGAAAGAAATATGATTTCTTAACCTTAACAGATTAAGTTTAATAGTTTAAATAAGATTTGGAATCTTAGTAGGACACTAAGTCCTATTTTGGGAGATAATCCCTATCATGAAAGAGATATGATTTTTTGACCTTATCAGATTAAGTTTAATACTTTAAATAAGATTGGAATCTTAGTAGGACACTAAGTCCTATTTTGGGAGATAATCCCTATCATGAAAGAGATATGATTTCTTGACCTTATCAGATCGTTTGATAGTTTGAGTAAGATTTGGAATCTTAGTAGAAGAGGAAATAGAATGGGATTCTGATTTCCTATTTATAGACTGTTGCAGACTAATGGGCTAAAACCCAGTTTAGTTTAACTTATAGGATAGCCCAACTCATAGAGTGGGTAGTTCACAAGGTGATTTTAAGCGTAAGCCCAATCGGGATTGGGTTGAGGCCTTGGGCTATGACATGTTTATTTCGTTATTGGGCCTCGTTAAGCCCAAGATAATTTTTGGCCCTAACAACTATATATTGATAAATTTGGACATGCATATGTGCATTTTTATGCATGTTCACAATGTTTGTGAATAGAAAAGAAATTATAGGAAATAGTATGTTGGATATGGTGGCTGACTTTTGTTGTTGACTAAAATTGGAGATTTAATACAATAGTTTTATTTGGGTAGAGCTTATATGTTAATCCTAAAGAACCAAGAATTATTAAAGTATGGTTTTGGTTATAAAAAATTTACGCTGTGAAATTCTGACAGCCTGAACTTCCGAAAATTCTATATGTGTTTTGGGTTTGCAATTGAAGTTAAATTTTAGACATTTTGTTTTAGACTTCTTGAGGGTTGTTTGAAAATTTATTTTATCCAAAAGTTTGGAGTATTGGATTTTTTATGAATTTTCGAAGTCTGCTCTGTTATCCTGGAATTTTGTGTTTTCCTGTAGAGCATGCATTTTTAAGAACTGATTTAATATACATTTACTCATCCAAATTGAGTGATTTTAAATTCTGGAGACTCCTTTATGTGTCTAGTTTAATTCTGGAAAGTTTTGTGAGGTTTCAGCTAAAGGTCAAATTGTTATGAATTTACCAAGTCAGCAACATTGATCCAGGAAACAGTTTGGCAGTTTTGAAAGAGTTAAAAGAAAATCATGTTTTAAATGGTATTTGACTTTGGAAAATGGCTTGAAAAGTTCACTGGATAAACATGTATGTACTTGTTTTGGTGAGAGGAGTTTTTATGAAAAATCCAGGATTGAGCAGTGTTCCATTTTAGAGAACAGTTTTTGTTCAATTGGAAGTTAAGTCAATTTTTGGTGTGTGAGATGTTCAATGGAGTTAATATTGATGTGTTACCATAGGGAGTTTGTTAAAATCAAATTAGTTCTATGAAAGAGGAATTACAACATCTTTAGATGATACGCTTTTCTATTATAAGATTAGAGATTGTAATCCAACTAGTCATTTAAGCCCAAGGAAAATGTTTCAAGTGAATTAATTATTTGATATTTGCTTGAATATTAGTCATTATATAACGAGCTGAAGGATAGGGATGTGAGTTGTTGCAATTCTCATGATATCAAATGTTGGCGGCACTACTTAAAAAATATCAAGGTCAAAAGCTTCGTAGATCTTAACAATAGGAAATTAATTGATGCTGATAATTTGGTGAAATTGTTGAGTACAAATAATATGAGTTGTCTTTGGTCTAGCCTTCCTTCAGGAATTATAAAGTTTCAACTTGATTGGTGTTTCCCAGTGAGCACTGAGAATGCTTAAGTTTGTTTTTGATACAATGATGTTATCTATGTGGAAGAGAGGCTTAGTTCTAAAGAGTGAGGATAGTTTGGGATTAATGTAATTTTTATTTTAATCTCTCTATTGTAGAAATAATCATCTTTAAATATATGTTATATAATTTTTGGTCAAGTTTATTTTCAAAATAGCTGGCTCCGTTTGGTTCAAAATTTGGGGGTTTTGGGAAAAGTTTTTTTTAAAAAGTTAAAAAAAAGTTGAATTTGGCGGGTATTACGATGTAGGATTTATAAATTAATAAAATACCCTATATATTTATTTTTTTACAAAATACCCCCTATAATAAAACATTAAAAGTTAACAAAAATACCCCTAACTCACCCTCAAACACCCCCAGTCGGCCACCACCACCGGAGGTGGCCGAAGCCACCTTATGGGCGCATGACCGGCTGGATCTTGCCGGTCATGCCCCGATATGGCCTTTTCCGGCCAGATCCACGGTGGATCTGGTCGGCAAAGGCCAGATCTACGGCCAGATCTGGCCGTCAACCACCAGATCTAGCCGTATTTGCTCTCAAAGACGGCCAACAAACTGTCTTCGTTGATGGTCAACGACGACCGTTTGTTGGCCTTCGTGACCGACTGTTACGGCCAAAGATCTGGCCATCAATGGCTAGATCTTTGGCCTTAGATCTGGCCGAAAAAGGCTAGATCGGCGCACTATCGGCCAGATTCAGCCGGTAGTGCGCCATCCTACCAGATTCCGGCCATTTTCCGGTGGTGGTGGCCGGAATCTGGTAAATGTGGATTATTGGGGTGTTTTTGTAATTTAAAAAAAAATATTTAGGGGTATTTAATTAAATTATCAAATTTAAGGAGTTTAAAAAAAGTTGAATAATATTGGGAGTAGTATTCCCAAAAATCTGAGTTTTTGGGTATTTTACTGTTTAACTTTTTTGGGAATACTAAAAGTAGTATTCCCAAAACTGAAACAAACGCAGCCGCTATGTTTTATTTGTATGTAGAAAGACACCACATAGAATTACACACTTGTGAAGATATGAATTTTGAGATATATTTTGAGACGGGTAGCATTACTCTATTTATATACGTAATTATCCTCTATAACATAATTTCTGGTTTATTTGTAATCCAGGTCACCCCAGTTTCTTTCTCTCAACTTATTGTTTCCCAATAATCAATTTTCAAAGTAAAATTTCTTCTTTAATTTTTATGTTAACTTAATTAGAGAATCTTAATTTTGTAAATTTGTTCATCTTCTTCAAGCACATAACGTGCATATACTGCATATGATACAAAATTAAAAAGCCCAATTGCTAGACTTCTGGGTATTAAACATGAGTGTGTCAATTAGATTTGGGCCTAACTTTGTAGGCCCGTTAAAGCCCAATCATGTGGAATCGGTGAATAAAGTGCTCATACCTATATTGTTTTTAGGATATTACGGGTGTGTTTGTTTTATTATTTTGGGTATGATTTTTCAAAAAGTTGAGTTGGGTGGATATTACGAGGTAGAATTTGAAAATTAACAAAAACACCCCTTAGGTTTGTTAATTTAGCTAAACACCCTTATAATAAAACATTGAAAATTAACGAAAACACCCCCACCAACCCATTAAATGTCTACAGTCGGCC